TTGCTGCATTTTTTTACCTTTCCATAACACTTGAGGGACCAAGGGAGCAGAGGGCTGATGGAAACCATGCCTAGATGCTGGCTTTTACTGCTTTGCATGTGATTACTGCTGGAGTGAGGGGGGTCAGAGGGCCCTGCAGCAGGTGGTGAAGACCATACAAGCCTGGATATGCTTTCAGAGCCCTCATGTGGTTATTTCTGCAGCACAGTCCTTGATACGCCTTTGGTCCATGTAGTCAGCATGTCTGGGAGGTGCTGGGGGATGCAAGACTCCCTTGGGGCTCTGCTCTGCCCACTCACCCTCTCCATGCCAGCAGGCGAGCCTCTGCATTGGCATGGGTGCTCATGAGCTGCTGGTGCTGAGTACCTTTCCCCTGGCTGGTGTGCAAGTGCCAGCTGGAGAACTGGAGATGGGCCTGCAACCCTGCTGGAGAACCTGACCTCTGACAGGCTTTGCTGCTTCACAGTGCTTCTCCTTTTCTCTCAGAGAGGAAGGATGCTCCAGCAGGGTGGGACAAGAAGGGGAACTGAAAGTCTGGAAACTGGTCAGATTTGGGGTCTGAGGTGCTAAACCTCCTTTAAACTCAGGAGCTTTGCGCCACTGCACTTATGGTAGTTTTACACTGATGTAACTCACCCCAGGGCAGGAGTCTGCATGGAAAAGCAGAGTATTTAGCCCATGAATGAATCTACTAGAATGAACACTGGTCAATAATTTGGAGGCAGGACTTCAGATTAATTAGTCAAGGACATGACAGAAGAGTAGCCTGTCAGTGAATTAAGGAAAACAAACAAACAAACAACAAACCCACATTGTAATATAGTGACATAAAAGCTGGTATCAATTATATTTGTATTCTGAGAATTCATGTAAGAGGACTCTGCCAAGCTTCTCAGATTCTAAATAATGACTTTCTAACCCCTGTGCTTAAAAAATGATTTATCTGTTTCCAGTGAGCATTTTTAAGGTTTTGTGTGCCGACTACAGCTATTCTGAAACCTAATAGCAGAACGGTTGTCTCCTGCAAGTTTCATGGATGCAATGAGGGAATCACTGCTGGCGTGTTGCTTTCAGTGAGCTGGTAATTTCCAATGGGGGACTTGGGATGCAGACCACATTTGATGAGATAGTTTACCTAAGCAGGTATGTACTTGGCATCTTTACACACCATGCCTTGGGTTAGGCACACTGCTGAAACACAGGAATGGCCATAAAGATCTCTTGCTTCTTTGGGACATCCAAGAGCTCAAGGTGAACCTGATGCTGGCTATCAATTATTTGTACTAGAAGAAATCCTGAACTATCATTTCTGGTAGCCCACAAATTGTTTACATTACTGAAGTTTTCTGTGAGAGTCTCGTCCATGCACACTGTTTCTGCTGGCTAGAATGGTTTTGAATATAATAGTTCTAAGTTGATCTGAGCTGAGGGATTACAGCTTCCCTGCTGTGGCATGTATCGTGGATGAGATCCTGTGTACTCATCTGAAGCTACATACTCACCTATAGGGGAAATAACACACTCTTGAAACCCTGCTAACAAAACTAAGGCAATTATAAAGCGTCCTTGCTCTCTGCAGCAAACCCCAGTAATCAGGTGTCTGCTAGCCACTCCCTTTCAGGAACGGAACCGGCCTTGGGAGGCGAAGCCAGCTCTTGCCATCCCACTAAGGCACTGTGGTGAAGCCCCCCATGCTGGAACCTCAGGAAGGAGAGGTAAATCCTCGCACCCAGCTGTCTGCCACTGCACAACTTCATTGTGCTTTCGCAGCACAACAGCCTCCCACCAGAGAAGCCTTTGCTTTCACCTGGGTCCTGCACAGTGCTTCACAGGGGAGGTATGAAATCAGTATTAAACCAGAAAGACTTCTCAGAAAGGAGATAATTAAGAGGGAAACTCGGTGTGTTTGGAAACCTAAATACCCCTCATTTTCTAATGGTTGTTTTCAGTATTCACATTTATTGTCAACAGTGCACTGTAATATGTTCAAGCTCCTTTGGTATTCATTTGAATGGCTCAGAGCGAATCCTTCCCTCTGGCCATTGCCTGCCAGCCTGAAATGAGACTTGGGGGTAAAAAATGGGTCCTCTCTTAGTGGTGACAATTTTCTTCAGGTTTATGGAAACTGTGAGCTGCTTGCAAGCAGCACAGGAGAATATGAGAGCCTGGACTGACTTCCAAGATTTTAAGCATCCCTGCATATCTCCTGTGATGACAATCATGTCAGAAACCAGAGATGAAAATACAAATGTCAAGCAAAAGGATATAATTTTTCATGCCTGGCTGAAACCAAACACTCCAGTCTCCCACTACAATTTACTTCTGTAAGTACTGCAGATAACCTCAGTTACAGGAAGCTATTCACGGCAGGAGTTGAAAGCATGATAAAAGGCTTACAGAGTATTGCCTATAACTTGGGATTGTCTAAAAGCACAAATGTCTGTTGTTCAGTTCCTTAAATATTTAGCTTGTGCGTGAAGCTTATTTTATTCAGTCGTATTTTCCTCCCTCTTACACGCACCAGGGATTTTGCTGCTTCTGCACCTTGCTGCCATGAGGGAAGCTGAGTGGCAGTGTAACTGGCTGGGAGAAGCCTTTTGGCAATGGGCACGCTGCCTGGGCCCAGGGCAGGAGGCAGGAGAGAGGCTCTGGGGTTCGTTGTCCCTGCAGATCCCTTCCCTCCCCCCCCTTCCTCTTGCTCTCCTGGCTTCCCAAGTGAGCCCAGGCACATGTGGCAGTACTGGCTGGTTTTGACTTTGCCTTTTCATGGAATATCCCCCGTTGTGGAAGGGTAACTCAGATCCAGATGGAGGTGTGTGCCTGGCAAATCAGGTATGATGATCCTGGTAGAGGCTGAGCCTCAGAACCAGCTCTTCTGCATGCTGGGGCTTCAGAAGCCCCAGCCCGCAGGGTCATGCAACACATATAACATGTTGCATGTGCAGACTTTGCATAAGCTGCAGAAAAATGGCTTTTCCTCTTCTGAGAATAATTTTTGTATTATTTTCCCATGCTTTGGGGTCCCTGCAGGACCAGACAGCCCAGGAAAGGCAGCTCCTGACCTTCAGACATGTCACCCCCGTCTGACAGGAGTGTGCAACAGCCCCTGCCACCAGTCCATCCCCTTTCCATGCCACTGTACTGGAGGACCAGTTCATATCACTGAAGGGATCCCATCACTCGCTGTGTTTGCAGAGGGCTCTGCAAAAGCTGCTGAGTCCTGCTGCCACCTGAACTGGTGGCATACTAATGTTCACACTGATGAGAGTGTCCAAAGCTGTCCCAAAGACAGCTAGCTCTCTCGAGCCTAAAATTCACTTGTTATGTGATGGATGCATCAGTGGGAAGAGTATTTAATAAGAAAACTTACACCCTTCAGTCCTCCCACCTAGGTGCTGCACCAGCAGAAATAAAGGCTCTGTCTGCCCTGGAGAGAGCAGAGATGGGAAAGCCATGGGGATTGCTCCAACTATCGGACAGCACAACCTTCCCACAGGGGACAACACTCCGACCAGGTTTTCTTGCTGTTTCTTGTCCATGGAGGAGCTCTGGAGAGGAAGATTCTCTCTTGCAGGCACTACCTGCTCCAGCCTCAGCTGCTGTGAATGACTTGCAACAAGCAGCACCTCTAAACCAGTATTTCTAGCTTCAAAAGATAGAAAAACTGGAGTCCTGTGAGAGCTGGCCCCTCACCTGCGCTCAGGTGCAGGATTATAGGTGCAGGAGCAGCTGCCGTTCTCAGCAAAGGATGACCAAAGAGGACTGAACTCACTATCACAGGGAACAAAAGTTATTTGTAATGAGATGATGGGCTGGGAAAATATGAGGATTAACTCAAACATCTCCACCGATTTGATTTAATTCCTCCCAAAGTCCTAGAGCTATAATAAGCTTAAGTTAAAATGTTTACATCTGCAAATGTGGCTCATAGAGTGATTTTTATCTAATTCCCTCTTATCTTTCAGGCGCTCGCTGCACCAGCTGAGACAAATCCAGTTCTTGTGGCACTGACAGAGCTCATGTCCAGCCCGAGGTGGGCTCCTGGGACACAGGGGCCAAGTGCAGAGCTGTGTAGAGTGGCAAATGCTTGTTCTGTGCTGAGGGATAGTGGGCAGGCCAGCCTGAGCTGCCTGGTCCTTGCCTGCCCCCAGGCTGGTCCCCGACAGAGGGGCTGCCATGCTCATGGGCCCTCTCCCAGCATCGCCATGCCATGAGCAGGCAGCGCTGGGGCATCACTCCCTAGGACTCATGGCTAAATGCAGATGCTTTTCACAAGAGCACAAAACCCACTGCATCAGCATTTCCAGCTGCGTGCCAGTGCTGACCTGACGGTGTTTGGTACCAAACGTTGCACTAGGTGGGTTAGCACTATTAAAAGCAAACATCTCTTGGGAAAAAAAGCTCGTGTAATTTATGGATTGGCTTTGTTCTGTGTGCAAGGGGTAAGCTTCGTGCCACAGGACTGCCTCATAGTTTGTATTTGCTGAACTCCCTCTTCTTGCTTTGCCTGATTCCTGCCAGCAGCTGGATTATAGATGGCATTTTAACACTCCTTTTTGCAGGGCTCACTTTTATGCTTTCAGAGAAGACGGACTGATCTTCAGAAATCACACCCTCCACTGGTCGTACAGCCTCTGTACCGGCAGGTGATGCTCACCTCTCCATGGGCTTGCTGCAGATTTAAACCCTAGGACCAGTCTCATCAAGGTAGGTAAGTCCTTCCTAGTTTTAATCAGGGGTAATGGGGAGTATCTTGAGTGGTCTGGCAAACTTCCCTCATCTGTGAAGCTGTCATAGGGACTTCCAGTTGTTCACGCTTCAGCGTGACTTTCAAAGCCCTGGTAGACTGGAGCCTGTCACCAAGACAGTCACAGGAGAGACAGTTTCCAAGGGCGGCAGCATGTCTAACAGCACGAAAGTTATAAAGGTGGAAAATGGTGGTCACTGGTTTCTGCTTGGTTTGGGGTCACAGCAAAAAGGCAGTTGAAGAATCTACTTACCTGGCTTATAGCACACAGCAGCTTCCCGTATGAATAAACAATAACGACAAAAGGGATTACAAGGCAAAAGATGAAAAGATATATGATATAGGACACATTGTTAGCATCCTTTGAATGCCAGTTCACGGAGCAGGTTGTCCCTGGTTCTTCTGGCCCATAGCTGCTCCAGCCAAAAAGCGGGGGGGCAGTCCAGACCAAGGAGTATGTCCATGACAGGACGATGCCTGTCCACGTTTTCCTGTAGTTTGTGGTATCAACCTCTGTTGTTCCTGTCATGGTGCAGTAACGTTCATAAGAAAGTACAGCCAGGGAGGTAAGTGAAATGACGCCTGTACCAAAACATACATTTGTATTAGCAGAAATGGCTGAACTAAGGCTTTGGTCTATCTCCCGAAGCAATATGTCAAGCTAAACATGAGACTGATGGCAGTGGCTTTGGAAAACCAGTGGGCAAGGACTGGGCCTTGAGGTGTCCCCCTAAGAGCAAGAGGTGCTGAGAGCCTGACCACCAAAAGCTGGGGAGTGTTTAAACATGTGTCCAGCCAAAGCAAGTCTGTTATAAATGCTGATTAATAATTAAGCACATCTGTCTGCATAAGTATGTATGTGTGTGTGCATGTGTGTATGTGTCCTGCAGCAAAATCCTCATTTCTCTATCAGATTTTGTGTTTGGTGCACCTGTAGGACTTAAGGATTAAAGATCGATAGCTATATTTGCCCAAAGTTCAGGGCTTATCCAGCTTCACATGCTTCCTTAAGCAACTCCACTTCTGTTTGAAATGATGACATTGGCTCTTTGCTTCCTGGGATTTATGCTTTTTCCCAGTGTAAGGAACAATAAACATCCATGCCCGTCCTTTGAACTCTTCACACAACCTTCCCCGCCACTTTCCACATATACATGTGAAGATGTTGAAGCACACACAGATAGTGAAGGAAGCAGGAGAATGCTGCCCCGTCCTTGTCCTCTCCCCAGACATTATGGTCTCCAGGCACTTCTTGAATGTTTTCATGCAGCTATATGAGTGCTGGAGATTCACACCAAACCCCCCAGCCCTGTGCTGTGCTGGACCTCGAGAACAGGGTGTTCTCACAGCAAAATGTACGTGAGCGAGGGCAGACACTGCAGAGGAACATAAGTGACTTTACTTAGGAAATTTTGGGGTTCGGAGAGAAAAGACAGTCCTGTGAAAGTGGGAAGAGGGTGTCACTGGAGGAACCTGATTAAATAAAACTCCTGGTGAGAGCCAGGAGAGCTTTCCTTGCAGAGCATCTGTCACCCCCAAGGAAATCACACAGTCAAAATAGAAATCTGCATCTCTCAGTGTTTGACCACCTTTGAAGGAACATGAGAAACATGGAGGCTTTGTTGCTTAGGTTTGAAACCTAACTTGATTCCAAGGGCAAGAATTGCAGCTCATTAAAGCAATGCATTTCATATCTAAAGCATGAGGACATCTTTAACAGTCAGCAAAAATCCAAATGCTCTTTCCAGGGCAAGGCCCCTCTTCTGAGATGCAGAAAACAAGAGGTGCACCTCTGCCAGCTCGAAAGTGCAGCAGTCTGCACCCCTCTTGGGGAAGCACAGCCCCCCAGGTTTTACATAAGGATTTAATGCTGTGCCGTAACAAAGAAATGTAGACTAAAACAATGCCGTGAAGCCCTCTGTGCCAGCAAGTGCCGTGGTGTGCATCAGCACTCACAGAGACATTCATGGGTCTCCTGCAATTGGGGTACTGTCAGCAGATACGAATGGGGTGCGAAAACCACTTAGCAGAAAATCAAAGATTTCTGCTGCATACAGTAATGCTCTGTGTGTGTGTGTAATTTCTAATCTGACACTCGAGTTTTGCAATTTCCGCTCCACATACTCGCCTCCCAGGATGCATTTTGGAAAGTGATGCTGGCAGTAGCTGGAGCTGCTGGTTAATGCTGACATATTCTGTTTAAACTTTCCTTGGCTTGTAAAGGTTTTACATAAACAAAGCTGGCTTGCTATTCTGTATAATTTTATCAGGGAGAAAAGTGGCAGCAAACAAAAAATTAAACTGCAGCTGCCAACATAGAATCTTTACAGTGGGTGTAGGTGTTGTGAGTGTCTCCTAAAGCAGTGGTGTGCAGCCTGGATGTGATGCTAAGCTGTTTTCCTCTGATTGTTTAGGTCTGTTACTGATGGGCAGAGCGATGACTCTACTCGCAAAGCTTCTGGCCCGTATAAGTGATAGCTGGGAGAGTCCCACTGGTGTGTGTCAGCACCTGGAGTGTTACAGCAGGCTGGGAGAGATTTTCCACACGTGGAACCTTGAAAACACGTTATATTGTTAAACTGAGCTCGAAGCGACATTGCTCGGAAGCGCTGTTTCTGTAGCTTAGGCAACACCGCAGAGCTGGGAGGAGGACGCAGGGGCAGGTCTGCGTACCTGCTGTCCCCACAGCCCCCTCGGCGCCTCCGCCGCACCGTGGGGCTCCCTCCGTGTGCCGCCTGGGAGCGAGGGGCTGGGTAAAGGCAGAGGCGCACGGTGGATGCTCTTTCCTGCTCACTGCCCTCTCTAGCTCTGCAAACACGTTTGCCTTGCCCGGAGGCACACCAGTCCGCAGGACCGGGAGACCTGCACTCCCCTCCGGCACGCCGGGCTGCTCCCGGGGACCCCCTGCACCGGCATCGCGACTGCCCTGCCTGGCAGCATCCCGGTGCTTCGCCGGCCCCCACCTCGCTCCCGCTGCCCCGGGGTGGGCAACGCCGACCCGGCAGCCAGGGCCCGGGGTGAGGACTGAAACCCACGAGACTTCAGCGAAATCGCGGCTGTTGAGGCTCTCAGCTGCCTGCTCCGTTTTCATTCTTTGAAGTTTGAGGAGCTCTTCAGTAACCGCGAGAAACACGCACTTAGCAGCCTGAATGAGGACTCCTGTTCAACGCTGCCTGGTACGTTATCAGCTTTTCCCAGGGAAACAACTGAAGCTGGGTAAGTTTTTAACCGCAGTCCCGTGCCTTTTGCAACAGGGGAGCTGCTTCGCACACACCGACCTGTGCCCCGTCCCACCTGCCCCGCTCCCCTGCCTGCACCCACTCAGACCAG